GAGAGAGAGAGAGAGAGAGAGAGAGAGAGAGAGAGAGAGAGAGAGAGAAATTGAGATTCATTCTATAGGTTCTGTTCTTCTACAGAACGCTGACTAATATAAGCGAGTGCATGGTGTTATCCCATTATCTTGTTTTTCTGACTGGGTCTCACCAGTTACTCAGGATGGCCCTGAAGTCATTACGTAGCCCAGGCTGGCCTTGAACTTTTGAAACTCATGCTTCTATCTCCTAAGTGTAAGAATGTACCACTGTTCCCATCCCTTTTACTGCACAGATTCAATGATCAATGGTGTTGAGCATCCTTTTATGGACTGATCGGCCATTTGCATGTCTTCTTTGGAGAAATGTCTATGTAGATACTTCACTCTTTTAACTGACTGTTGTAATATTCTCCTGGCTTGGTTCTATTTTGTTGAATTTCCTTAACACAATAAACAAAAATGAACATGGAAGAAACTTTAAGTGAAACTTCCTAGAACTTGGTGGGCAATTATGAAGGCTTTGCTAACAATGAAGTAAACACCACTGAATATTTATTGAGTACTGCCAATAGGCCCATTTCTATATTCTCTCTTATGTGTCCAGGTCAGAACAGTATCATTAATGATTTTCAAAACAGGAGAAGAAAAGCAAAATTTCTAAATCCTCACAGTGGTTTATGACCAGCTTGGGAACTGAACACAATTTTAAAGATGGACGCTCTCTTCAATCTGTTCTTTACTCAATGGAACCATCAGAAAAACTCAGGGCCCCTGATGTCTTAGGGACACTCGTAGCATGCTTCCTATCTGAAGAGTAAGGGAGATGGAGCTAGAATTATGGATCTTGCTTTTTATTTATTTATTTATTTAAATACTCTTCACCAAATACCAAGCACTGCAGAGGACAGCGGTGGTCAAGCCAAACCCGCCAACTCACTTCCCAGAGCCTAAATGAAAGGTGCAGCCACTTCACAACACTAATAGAGTATTTGTGGGTATTCAGTCACTGAATATAGCATAATATTTCAACAGTCCCTAAGTGGTGGGACTGCCCAATTCTCTGAGCACGCTAATTATTTTATTGCAAGGCAAAAACCATATTGGGTTATTTTCCCAAATGGCTCATTATCACCTTTAAAGCCCCGTGAAATGTCTGTGTAATAGAAGGGCTAAGCAGCAATCCTACCCACCCCACCTCACAGCACTCAGCTAATTCGGATGTACGGATACTAAATACAGGTCTTCAGGGTCTTACTGGCATGGATGTTAATTGCAATGATCTTCGGTAACATTTTCTTGATACAGAAAAATATTTTTCTATGTGTTATTTCTTTGTTAAAAACAGCCCAGCAATGTTTTGATGAAATGAAGCCAACAGCTCTGATCATATGGACATGATAAAATCTTAACTTGACACTAGTCAGACAAAACTGTGGGGACAAAGAATGAGGAAATCTTGGGTGCTGGTGCCTTAGGTCAGAAGGATTGGTGGGGTTTAAAGATTCTGTATCACCAATCACAAATCACCAGCAAGACCAAAAACGCCATCAATATCTATTATGATAATGGGTCCTTGAGAAACAACACTTTTCAACAGCTGTTCTTCTAATGGCCCAATCAGATGTTTTAAAGTCTTCATAATGAACAAGGGCAGAGGAATCTAACAACCAATACTTAGAATAAATAAGTCTGAATTATGTCTTGTGATAAATACTTTTTAAGTTATATACTTTGGCTTTGTAGTTTAAAAAAAAAAAAAAACTCTCTGGTTATC